ACGGGCCGGAGACGAGTCCGGCGGCGGGAACACAGGACCGTAGACAGGAAGGTCAGCAGGCGGTGGGGGAGACACCGGCGCGCGGTCCGGGGAGGGAAGGCCGAGCAGGCGGAGAGCGGAGACCGGCGGCGACGGCTTGGGCCGGAACCTCGGACCAGCAGAGGCAGGACGACCGTCGGCAGAACACTCAACAGCAGCACCCCCAGAAGAGCAGGAGAACCCCTCCAACACCAGCACCCCCAGGGGCCAAGAGCGCGACAGGCGACACTCCGGCGGCACAGCGGGGCACGGCGCGCGGCGGCGACAGCGGCGACGGCTGCGGCGGCGGCGACAGCGGCGACGGCTGCGGCGGCGAGGCGGCGCGGCTGCGCGGGTCGGCGACTGCGACAGTGGGGCGGAGGCACCGGGGAAGGGGGACGCGGCAAGGACGGACCGGGGGTACCACCAGAGTCAGCAGACTCCTCAACGGGGACAACCGACGGGAGGGGAGTGACGTGAGAGACACCAGACGGGGCAGGACGAGGCGGGAGAGGGGCAGGGGCTACCGGGGGAGAGGGAGCAAGGAACAGGGGGGGGAACCGGGAGACCTCGGTGAGGGAAGCGGCGGTAGAAGGAGACAGACTCGTCAAAGGTGACGTCACGAGAGTGGAGGAAGCGGTGAGACGGCGGGTGGTAGAAAAGCCAGTCAGACGAGTCCAGGGGGAAACCGAGGAAGACACAGGGGACAGTGCGGGCAGTGAGCTTGTCCGTGCCAGAGGCACGAACGTGAGCAAGGCAGCCCCAGACGTGGAACGCAGACGCGTCACCGGGGGACCCGGTCCAAAGGAGGGTCGGCGAAACCTGCGACCGCTGGGAGCGTGGCCATAGGTTAAGCTGGTGAGCAGCGTAGCGAACAGCGAACGGCCACAGAAAATGGGGGGCATCGGCATGAATTCATAGAGGTACGGGCGACCTCCATGACCAAGCCGATGCGGCGCTTAGCGACCCCATTCTGCTGTGGCGAGTCCGACAACGTATACGACTGGGTGATGCCCTCCGCACGACAGAACTGTCCAAGCCGACCAGAGGCGAACTCGCCGCCACGGTCAGAGTGGAGACACAACACGGGAAGACCGCGATGAAGACGCGCAGCTACGACCCACGGGAGAAGAACGTCGGGCACGTCGGCCTTCCGCTCTAGGGGAAACACCGTGGTGTAACGCGTGTAGTCGTCGACGAGCACAAGGAAGTAGCGCTCACCTCGCGGTCCGGGGACGGGGGCAGGGCCCCAAACGTCCAGGTGCAGGGTCTGAAGGGGGGCAGTAGCAGGGCGCAGCGAGGAGGAGTGAGGGGAGCGGCGGAGCCGGCCCTCGACGCAAGGCGTGCACAATGGCGCAGTCGGGGGAGGAAGGGCAGGGAGCGATGCAGGGAGACCTAAGACAAGACCGTGCTGGGACATGTGACGCAGACGTGGGAGTGCAGGGTGACCTAGGCGGTGGTGCCAGAGAAGGGACGGGTGAGTGAGAGACCGACACGAGCAAGCTGCAGCGACCTGGGAGGACGCACCAACCCGGGGGGGAGCGGTGTCTAGGGTGAACAGACCGTACACCGGGTCCCGGGGGAACGTCGCAAGAAGGGAACCTGAGATAGACTCAGAACAGACAGCGAACCGCTCGTGCCCGGGGAACGTGGTGGTGACGCCGAGGTCCTGGAGACAGCCGACACCAACCAGGTTCCTCGAGAACGAGGGAACGTGGAGACCTGTAAGGGAGCCCGAGGGAACTGCTGGACAGGGAAGGGACGTAGAACTGCGAGCGACGACAGGACCCACAGAGGGGTCAGCGAGAGAGACAACAGCAGGCGTAGCAAGCGGCGTGAGCGCGGAGCGGTCGCGGAAGAAGCAGGCAGAGGCACCGGAGTCGAGAGTGAAGGACAGCGAAGCATCGGCGGAGGCCGAGAACGGAGCCGGTGCAGAGACTAGGCTAGGCAAACTAGGCAGTCCTACGCCTGACGCAGCAGGGGAGGCTAAGCTACACAATGGTGCTACACCAAGGCTAGAGTGTACAGGGTAATAAGATCCAGCAACACTAGAAGCGTCAGAATACAAAGCATGCAAAGCAGCACCTATCTGATCCATGTCTAACTCAAAGATCGGCACGCCCTGGCGGAGCAGGCTGTGCCAGTCGGGGAGGTCCGGGGCCGGGCCAAAGCGACGACGAAAGAGATCGTCGGTGCGGCGGAAAAAGCGGGCGGTCGGGTGCGGGCGGCGGCACAGAGTGCCGCGGAGAGGCCCGGTCTGAAGCTGGTACTGGCAGGTCACGGCACCGGAGCCGCCGGTAGACGCCAAGCTGCGCGGGCCACCACCACGGCCACTACCTCCGGAGGTGCCGGGCCAGCCAGCCGGGAGACGGGCCCACTGCTGCGGCGACTGCTGCTGGGACGGCGGCTGCTGCTGGGCGGCGGCGGCTGCTGGGGCTGCTCCTGCTGCGGCTGGGGCTGCTGCTCCTGCCCACCGGTGGTAGTCCCCTCAGGCGGACTACCATCACGACGACCACCACCACCACTACCTGCACCACCACCCCTACCTCCCTGACGACCACGGCCACCACGGCGCGAGCGCTGCTGCGGGTGGACCGCCGCAGCCGTCTCGGTGAGAGGGGTCGCCGTGGCGACCGCAGCCGAAACGTCAGTGAACGTGCACTGGGAGGGGGCACGGCCGTGAAAGATAGAGACTGCCGGCGCACCGCTCGATTGAGCGATAGTGCGCTGGCGAGTCTCGATCTCGGTGAGGGTATCGACAAAGGCGGTGAGGGTGCGATCACCCGGGTGCTGGCTAAGGAAGTGATCGCGAGCACTAGCGAGGCGGTCTGGCAGGCGCATGGCGATAAAATAGAGCGTCATGCAGAAAAAGGGGGGGAGCGCAGTGAGCTGGGCAGCAGTGCTGGCAGTGCGATAGCGGGTCTCTAGGGAACACAGGTGAGTGGCAAAGTCTGCGACGGTAGGGAAGGCTGCAAGGTCTGGGAAAAGCATAGGGAAGAGCAGGCGGCCAGCAGAAGCAGACGCGGGTGTGGAATAGCGAGCAATAACGGCGTCTAAGTAAGCTTTGGCCGTCTCAATAGTAGCAAAGCGCGAGCGCTCAGACACAGGGAGGGCGTGGCTAATAGCAACATGAGCGACTGCATCGCGGGAGTCCCAGACCGCACGGGCAAGCGCAGCAGTAGAGAAGGTCTCACGGTCATCAGAGGAGGGGTCAGCAGGGAGGGAAGCAGGTGCGGGGGGGCGGGGGAGCAAGCCATCGACATGGACAATTAAAGAGTGGCCATCCTGGCGCTGACCTGTAAGGTGGCGGCGGAGATCGGAGAGCCAGGCGGCGAAGTCAACCGCATGACCCTCTGCGTCCAGGCGGAGCACGAAGTCGGCCATCGTGCAGGGTCAGCAGCACAGCTCCACAGCTCCGCAGGAACACAGCAACGCAGGGACACGGCGGCGGCACTCTCCAGCGCGGCAGCCGCGAGACGCCCCGGCGCTGGCGAGCAGAGGAGACGGAGCCCGAGGTGGCACGACAGGCCGAGCAGGCACGAAGAGGGGCCAGGCGAGTAGTGGGAGAGGCCAGAGAGACGCGGCGGGGCCAGGCAGGCGCGGCGGGGCCAGGCAGGCTCGGCGGGGCCAGGGAGGCGCGGCGGGGCCAAGGAGGCGCGGCAGGGCCAGGCAGGCACGGCGGGGCCAGGCAAGCGCGGCAGGTGTCAGGGAGGCGCGGCGGGGCCAGGGAGGCGCGGCGGGGCCAGGCTGGCGCGACGGGGCCAGGCAGGCGCGGCAAGGCCAGGCAGGCGCGGCGGGGCCAGGGAGGGGCGGCGGGGCCTAGCAGGCGCGGCGGGGCCTGGCAGGCGCGGCAGGGGCCAGGCAGGCGCGGCGGGGCCAGGAAGGCGCGGCGGGGCCAGGCAGGCGCGACGGGGTCAGGCAGACGCGACGGGGCCAGGCAGGGCGCGGCGGGGCCAGGCAGGCGCGACGGGGCAAGGCAGGCGCAATGGAGCCAAGCGAGCGCGGCGGGGCCAGGCAGGGCGCGACGGGGCCAAGCGTCGTGGCGGGACCAGGCAGGGCGCGACGGGGCCTAGCAGGCGCGACGGGGCCCAGGAGGGGCGCGACAAGGCCCAGGAGGGGCGCGACGGGGCTAGGAGGCGCGACGGGGCCCAGGAGGGGCACGACGGGGCCCAGGAGGGGCGCGACGGGGCTAGGAGGCACGGCAGGGCCCAGGAGGGGCGCGACGGGGCTAGGAGGCGCGACGGGGCCCAGGAGGGGCGCGACGGGCTAGGAGGCGCGGCAGGGCCCAGGAGGGGCGCGACGGGGCTAGGAGGCGCGACGGGGCCCAGGGGGAAGCGGCGGGGCCTAGCTAGGGTACGGGCGGAAGCGGTAGGTGGGGGATCCTAACCTACGCGTGATACCATGTTAAGGTGAGAACTGAATGATAACTAGAAGTGGAAACCTATAACAAGTACTAGCTGGTTGTACTTACTAGAAACATACCCCAGTCTAGCCTATAACTTGTACACAGCTAACATGTATAAGTTGACAATTTCCTCTTCAGTTGACCAAGACTCCAACTCTCTTTTCCTTAGCCTAAGCAAGCCAAAGTGGAGCAGTCCTGGCTAATCATCTTAGAGGGAACACAGCCCTGGCTTCCAATCCAATGCCACGGCCACTCTAGTCAATGTGGAACCACCACTAGTGGGCGATATCATTGCTGGAGCCAAGCGCTCATAGCAAATCCCCTTAAAGCCCGCGTCTCATATTTCCTAAAGTAATACTCTTGGTACTAGGTAACGTAGGTTCTCTTTGTGCGAGGGCTCACAAGTGAGTGCGAGAGAGATATACAACCTCAGCAAAGCGAACCCGAAGACGCGTTTGTAATAACCGAGTTTTCGGAAACTGGGCTGGTTGCATGGAATCAGGAACCGAAACATCTCACACAAGAAAATTTCGGCCCAAAATCCAACACTGAAATCGCAACTGCTTGCGAAACTCTGAGAACCTGACCCCCACCATCCACGACCTCAACGTTCCGTTGGCTCAAACCAAACGTAATACGGCTCCGCAGAAATACGAGACTCCAAGCCTCGTCAAAGTTGGACCCTCAACGATTTTCAAAATTGTCGCAACCCTCTCGCCCACTCACTTTCAAAATTTCGCCCCTCGCCCCCCAACCAGAACCCCCCACCAAAGGTAATACCTTTGGTCGGTAGGAAATATGAGACGCGGGCTTTAATCAACCGTGGCATCTAGCTATCGACATGCTGGTAGAAGAGCAGATATGCTTCGCAGCGCAGCACTCGCTCCAGTGTTGTTGCCTGGGCGTGTGTGTCACTGATGTACCACCACCGCCCACCCTCCCACCCACCAGATACTTCCTCCTGCCCCACTTTCCCACTGTGCCCCTTCCCCACCACCCCATCACCTCGTGCCGTAGCCACACTGCCCTGCCCTGCAACCCCTCCACCCTCTGCCCCACCTGCGTGCACCAGCTCTGCTCCACTGCATACTCCCACCTCTGCTAGCCCACTGCCTTGCCGCTCCGCTCCAGCCTCTTGTTGCTGCTGCTGCTGCCGCTCCTGCTCCTTCTGTTGCTGCTGCTGCTGCCTGCCGCGAAGCACAAAGGCCACGTAGTGCCCGCCTCGCATGGTGCCGCTGTGCTCCACCGCCCCACACAGCCGGTACCGGTGGGACTGGGACTGGGACCCCACCCCACACTGCAATGGCACCTCGCCACCTGTGTGCGGGGCTAGAGATGCATGCGGTACGTGTGAAGGCTGGGGTGGTGCTGACGATGATGGCGCCGACGTGGTACCTGTGGCCGGCAAGCTGCTAAGGGGCAGATTGTGAGGTGGGTGGCGCAACGAAGGGCGGACGGGAGTGAGCAGCGAGGAGTGTGAGAGCGAGGCGCAGTGGGAAGTGGGAATGGCGGCGGGGAATGCCTCCTAGTAACTCACGCAAGTTACTAGGAGGCATGGCAGGGAATCACACAGCAGCACAGTCAAGAGCACGAAAGATGTGGAACAGCATGGAGCAGCAGAGGCACAGAGCACAAGAAGCAGGGAGGAGAGGAAGAGGCGGGCAAGCACGGGAGGACGCACGGTGGTTGTTGCTCGTCCAGGAAGGGGCTGAGGTCCAGCCACTCGCCAAACGCCACGTGGCCACTGATCTTGGAGAGGCGGCCCTTGGCGTCGTGGCGGAAGCGCTTGAGGTGGATGACCAGCAGGGGCGGCGCCCTTCGCACCCGGTACCGCTTCCGCGCCTCCACGCGCACCCTCTGCACCTGCACCGCCTCCTCCTCCTCCTCATCCTCCCCCTCCTCTCCCTCCGCCCCCCATTCCTCCCCTTGCTCATTGTGACCACCAGCACCAGCCTCGTGGTGCACGCCTTGACCCCCTTGACCCACTGCTTCCCCATTGCCCTCGTGCTCCCTGCCACTCCATTCCACTAGTGCTGGCACACTGGATGCTGTAGTAGCCAATTCAGATGCAGTCACATCATTCGCTGCAGCCACATCATTCGCTGTAGTCACATCATTCGCTGATTTCGTACTGTCTGCTGTACGTGCATCTGACCCTAAACCCTCCGTTTCACCTCTCGCCTTCCCCCCACTCACAACCACACTCTTTTCCCCCTCTCCCCTGCCCCCTTCTGTATCCCCCTTCTCAATAACTTCCCCCTTCTCCTCCCTCCTCCTCTCCCTCCTCCTCCTCCTCTCCTCCCTCCGCCTGCCCACCTCCTCCCGCCTCCTCCTCTCAGTGCAGCCATCGCAGCCCCACGCGTCGTCCCCCCGCAGCACCTCCTCCGCACTGAATTCCCACAAGCACCCCTCCACCGACATGCGTGCAGGCAGCCGCTGCTGCAGCTGCTGTTGCTCTTCTGACTCAAATCCCACCCTTCTTCCCCGCCCTTTCTCACTCTCTCCCACACTCGCTTTCTCCCTCCTGGGGCTCGTCGCGCCACACTCCTGTGCGCCTGCCACAGTGGTGCCGCTGCTAGGCGCACACTCACCCCCGCTGCTGCTGCCTGTGGCGGTGATGCTGCTGCCAGCGTCGTCCGCTCTGCCAGTGGAGTCGGGCCCACTGCACGCTCTCATCACTGTGCTGATGCCTCCCTGCCTCGTACTCCCATCCCTCTCCCCTTCCTCTATTCTGGCCCCATGCTCCTCCCCTCCCTTCCCACCTGCACCTGTCTGCTGACCAGCGCTCCCCTCCTCACCAGCACTCTCCCCACCCCCTCCTCCACCAGCGCTGCTGCCCACATGTCCACCATCCCCTGCACCATTCCCCTCCCCTCCCACCACTGCTCCTGGCCTTTCCTCTTCCTCTGCCCCACCTGCTGCACCCCTCGCCACATCATCTGCCACATCACCTGCCACATCACCTGCCACATCACCTGCCAATGCCCCGTCCTCGCCCTTCTCTGCATCCGCTTGCCTCACTTTCGAATCGCTGCTGCTGATGCTGCTGCCACCGTTGCCATTGCTGCCTGACCCAGTCTCTCTGCTTCCCCCGCTCGCCTCCCCATCGCCCACACTCCCCTTCCCACCCTCAAACGCCCCTCCCTCTCCTCTCTCCTCTCCCCTTCCCACTGCCTTCGCCTCCTCTCCCCCTGCTGCAGCCCCCTCGTCACTCCCCCCTCCCTTCCCATCTGCCTTCTCCTCTCCCTTCCCACCCGCCTTCCCCTCCCCCCTCCCCTCCTCCCTCCCCACTCCCTTCCCCTCCGCGTGTCCCTTGCGGCTGCCCCGCACTGGCAGGAACACGCGGGGGGATGGGGGCGGTGGGGTTGCGACAGGGATGGGGAGGGAGAGGTCGAGGAAGGGCTCTTGGACGGAGGAGGAGTAAGCGCAGTGGCAGCACACCACTGTGCTGCTCAGCACCCCGCCGAACAGCCGCTCCACCACACTCTCCCTCCCTCGCCCTCCTCGCCCCTCACCCCCCTCCCCTCCTGCCTCCCCCCCTTCCTCCTCTTCCTCCTCCTCACTTTCCCCCTCCTCTTGCTCCCCTCCCTCCTGTCCCACAACACCCACCTCCTCCCCACTGCCCTCCCCCTCCAGCCATCCCAATCCCATGCTCTCAATCCCCTCGCCCCCATCCTCCCCCTCCTCCTCCCTCACTCGCTGCACCTCCTCGGCAGCAGTCCCTCCCTCCACTCGCCTTAGCCGAGCCATCGCCAGCCCCAGCCCAGCACTCAACCCCGTCGCCCCCCCCACGCCCCCTTTCCCCTCCGCCTGTCCGCTCTCCTTTTTCCCCCCTGCCCCTCCCACTGCATTAGGCGCGGGCATGGATGGGGGAGGCGGGGGAGGTGGGGGGGCGGAGGGTGGACGAGGGGGGGGCGGCGGTGGCGGGGTGGGAGGGGGAGGGGGAGGAGGCGCACGAGGAGGGGCAGGAGGGGGAGGCGGGGTTGGAGGAGCGGGTGGGGGGCCAGCGGTGGCCGCCTGGCGCTTCTTCTTGCGAGCGGCGGCAGCAGCCTTGGCAGCGGAGCCGTCCTGCTCCTCCTGCAGCAGCTGCAGCAGGCAGCGCAGCAGCTCGTGGCTGTCCTGCTGCTGGTACCCCCTGAACCGCGGGGCCTTGCTGCACACCGCGCCAAACAGCTCCCGCGGATTGTAAGGGGGGGCTTTCGCCCTCCCCTCCCCCTCATGTTGCTGCTGCGCCCTCTTCCCCGCTGCCCCCTTGCCGTGCTTGCCCCCCGCGCCCCGCTTCCCTCCCCCCACCGCCCGTGCTGTGGACCTCCGCGAATGAAGCGCCTTGCCCCTTGCCACGTGGCCGCGCGGACTGCATATGCTCTCCCCCGATTGGCTGCCTGTGGCAACAGAAGTACCAGCAGCACCAGGAGGAGCAGCAGCCCCAGCGGCGAGGCCCGGGTTGAGGTCCTCGTAGAATCGGCGCAGCGCAGTGCTGATGGGACCCTTGTCTCTCTTCCTCGCCCCCTTCGCCTTCACTCCTCCCACCTTCCGCCCTTCCCCACCCTTCTCCTCTAAACCCCCTTATCCCCCCCATCCGCATCCTTCCCCTCGTTACCCCCTCCCCCATTCCCCCGCCCCTCTGCCCCCGTCTCACCCAGCGCAGGCGCCTCTACACGTGGCGGGTCGGGGTTGGCCAGGAAGTGGTCTCTAAGAGCGGGGATGGCGGCGAGGTTCTGCAGGACGGAGTTGAAGAAGCACGTGTTCCCCAGGTTGCTCAACCCCCGCACCGGCCCCTCGCCTCTCTCCCCCGCCCACCTCTCCCCCTCCCCCTCCCCCTCTCCCCCTTCACCCTCCTCCGCCTCCTGCTTCTCGCCCCCGTCAGCTGCTTCCCCTCCCTCCCCTGCTCGGCCTTTCTCCCCCTTCCCCGCACCCCTCTGCTTCGCTCTCTCCCTCGCACCACCCGCTGCTCCACGCCCCTCCTTCGCCTTCCCTCGTCCCTCCCCTTCCTCCTCCGCTGCTCCCCCGCCTTCCCCATCGTTCTTCCCCCCCTTGCTCTGCTCCTCCGCCTTTGCGCGCGCCACTTCACTGCGCCTCTCCGCCAGCAACAGGAGGAACTCGCGGAGCGGATGGTCCGGGGGAAGGCTTTCCGCCCATGGCCGGGCGTGCTCGCTCCCTTCAGCAGCGCTCCCCCCCTCACTCGCACTGCCAGCCGCAGCATTCGCTGTCGTGCCAGTCCGCGCCTCTCCCCCGTCCTCCTCCCCCTCTCCCTCCTTCTCCCCCTCGTTCGCCCCCTCCCCCACCTGAAGTTCTTCCGCCTGTGCGCGCTCGGCGCCATCCGCATGCACGAGTGGAGCGCTATCCGCGCGATCGTGGTCTGCGCAATCCGCGTGCGCGCACTCGGCGGCATCCGCGCGCAGCAGCACGCAGCGGTGGCAGCGGAAGCACCAGACGCGCATGGACTGCGCGTGCGCCATCAGCGCGTGGCTCCTCAGCTGCCCCCAGTGCTGCCTCGCGTGCCCGTGCCCGTGCGCATCCGCATCTCCGCCCATTCCTTGCCCTTCCCCTTCCTTGTGCCCTGTAGCCGCGTCCCCTTCCGCCATGTCCGCATCTCCGCAGAACCCCCTCGCGCACACCAGACACACCCAGAGGGACTCCTCCGCCGTACCCGTTATAGGCACCGCCTGCTCCTTCTTCTTGCCGCCAGCCATTCTGTGGCTGTGCTGGCTGCACGGATCGCATGCATCCACGTGGCGCTTCTTCAGCTCGCGAGTGAACTTCTTCAAATCTAAGCCCTTGTGATGATGACACCTGGCGCCGCCAGCCAGCGGCTCAACCTCTCCCTCGGCCATCGCTGAACCTTCCGCGGAAACTTCCGACCCCACAACGGAATCAGCGGAGGCTGCTTGCGCAGTCTCGGAGGCGCTATCGCTACTGCTGGTCGGTAACTCAGACGCCTGCGTGGCACTCTTTGATTGGTCCTTAGTCGCACCAGAGGAGCCATCAGATGTCCGCGCGGGGGCGGCTTGAGCAGCAGCCTTGGCCTTGCGCTGCTTCCGCTTCGCCATGGCGGGTGGCCGTGACGGCTACGCCGCGGCGAGGAAGGCCCAGCAGCGGTCGCCACTCAGCTGGTCCGTGCGACGAAGCGAGACGAGTGGCTCGCCGAGTGGGAGCTAATCTGGTCAGGACTGTCGGACGGGGTGGTGCCACAGAAGCATGTCAAGTGAAGTGATCGCTGCCCGTGAGGGATGTGTGTGTCTCCCACAGCAGTAGGTGAAGCGAGCTGCTGGCCAACCCAGCCCTCAGGAATCTCCCTCCACTCCCCGCCACAAACAAGCTGATCTGACATCCAAGGTTCTCGATAACGCCGAATCCCCATTAACAGATGAGAAGAAGTCGCGGGTACAGTGCAAGGATTCTTATAATTTGTGTCTATATTACATGAGATAAGCCAACTCCTGATTTATCTCCAAAATTATCCCTATGGGAGAACCCCGATCTCAACAATTATGAAGCGATGATCCCAACAGGATTTTTCCCATCGAGCAAGGGGCTCTCCAACGAAGGCTGCGTGATGTCATCCGATGACTCGTCCAAGTGCGTTGAGAGCACAATGCCGCCAGCCAGGAGAGACGAAACGAGGGGCAGCAGAAAAAGCACCCAACGCACAATAGAGCGCGGGCAGGTGGGGCTGGCATGACCACAGAATTCCTCTTTTGCTGCACAGCGCAACACAGCACAACCCAGGATGGGAGGTGAAATTAAATACCACAAACAGCCTGGAGAAGCTAAACACCGTCCCGTGAAATGGCCCTTGGACGAACACGAGGAACTGCGCACAAATCTAAGTCGTGCACTTGTTGCTGCATGGCAAGCAGGAGACTCACTGTTGTATGCCTGAATGGCGACGAGCGCGATGCCGCAGGTGAACTTGTCGAGGAAGGAGAGCGAGCCGTACACAAAAGCGCACACCGACACGTGCTGCCCCACCAGCACACCCTCCAGACTCGTTGCCGTCACCTGGTGGGGTGTGATGGGCGAGTGCGAGAAGAGGCAGCGACAGGGGGTGAGGGGGGTGAGGGAGGGAGAGAGGGAGGGGGGGGAAGGGGGCAGAAGGCACAAAATCAGTGCGGCACATGCGTGGACAGACTAGTATGCCAGTGGCGAGAGAAACTAGTGGAAGAGGTGAGCGCTAGTGCGGGAGGAGGGCGGGGCGTACGAGCATGAGGGCGTTGGAGACCCCCACGACGAGGGCGAGGGCGTACACCACGAGGTCCATGGAGGGCCCCGCGTCCACCCACAGGAAGGCGGCGCTGGCTCCCGTCCACAGCAGCGCACCGATGGAGAAGGCCATCTTCATGCGCCCCATGTCCCAGTGCAGCTCCTGAGAGGGGGGGGGGGGGGGGGGGGGAGAGGGGGGGGGGTGGGTGTGAGGGACAAGAGAGGAAAGCGCAATAGAGGAAAGCGCAATAGAGGAAAGCGCAATAGAGGAAAGCGCAATAGAGGAAAGCGCAATGGAGGAAGCGCAATGGAGGAAGGACATTGGGTGAGGGATGAAGGAGCCATGAGAGTGATAGAAAGAGACACGTGGAGATGAATGGCGAGGGACGGGAGAGGTAGCATGCGCGTGAGGGGGGGAGGCGGAGAGAGGGGGAGAGAGGGGGAGAGAGGGGCACCTGGAGCACGACTGAGGTGATGAAGCTGCAGACGAAGATGAGCGCCGGGATCTGATGGCACGGCAGCAACACGCAGAGGGCAGAGGGCGGGCAGATAGAGGGGATAGGGCGGGGGGGTTGAACGAGCATGAGCATGAGCACGGAGGGTGGGAGGACGAATGGCAACGACGAAAGAGCCAACGAGGCAGATTGGTGAAGACAACACAGTGCACTTGAGGCGCCACGCATGGCAGAGGCAGCCTCCACCGTGCTTCCCCCTGCATGGGCGAAGGCGCGGTGGTGGGGGGCGCGCAAGGGGCTCACCGTGGCCTTGGCGGACGGGTGCAAGCCGAGGTCGAAGATGAGGAAGAAGGGCAGCATGGCCTGCAGAGAGAGGGGGGGGGAGGGAGGTGGTAGAAGGGGTGAGGGAGGGAGGGCTCAAGGGCGGAATGTAAACGTCTTGATCTAGGCTTGACTAGTTCAAGTCTGTAACCGTAGACTAGACTGTACACTGAGCACAAGGGCTTGGCAAGGAACAGGTGTGCAGGGCACCCCACTTGCAGGTGTGCAGGTGTGCAGGTGTGCAGGTGTGCAGGGGTGCAGGGGTGCAGGTGTGCAGGGGTGCAGGTGTGCAGGTGTGCAGGTGTGCAGGGGTGCAGGTGTGCAGGAGTAAACCCCGACTTTTTGTCCTTACCGGACATGACTTCACCGAAAGATGCTTTGGCATGCCTTTCCTGCTCACCTGAGAGACGTTGGTGATGAGCCGCACCAACATGTACACCGCCGCCACCTGGAAGTATGCCAGCTGGCGGAACCAGAACAGCCACGCTGGCACCGCCTGCTCCTCCTCAGCTGCCTCTGATTGGCCGTTCTTAGGCCCCCACTGCTGTGATTGGTCGATGCTGCCGTCAGCTGCTGGCTGTGGGCTGAGCAAGCGAGAGGAGGGCAGGCGCACAGGCGCATGGGCCAGCCTGGGAGGGCGCGGAGAGGAGGGCGAGAGGGAGGGGAGAGGGGGGGCAGGAGGGGGGAGGACGCGAGTGCATGGGTGAGAGTAGCGCAAGGGAGGGAGCACAGGAGGACGAGGGTAGAGAGATAGCCAAAGAGTGAGTGCAGTGGTGGTGAGCTGGATCGTTGGTGAGCAGGAGACACGTCCACTCTTCCACCCGCACACGCGCCTTCTTTAGTTCTGTGCCCGTGCAAACCGCCTTAGTTTCCTTGCCACGGCACGCACTCACGTGGGCTCCTTCACCCCGGCATAGAAGATGAGCAGGAAGACGGCGCCGGAGGAGAGCGCAACCAGCGAGATCCATCGGTACTGTGCTTGGACCTGCAGGGAAGGGGAAGGGGGGGGGGGTGGGGGAGGGGTGTATTTAGTGAGATGACTCAAAGAACACTGCGATTGAAACAGCTCCAAACAAAAAAACTCCAAAATTATGAAGACCCTCAAAATGAATCAAACAACCCCACAAAAACTGGATTGAGATGCCTCGGAAGGAAGAGGAGGCTTCGCAGTATGGAGCAATCACCTCGGAGGGCGAGTGGGCGGGGAAGAGCGAGAAGGCGGCGAGGGCGATGGCGAAGAGCGAGAGGTTGGCGACCATGGTGAAGGCGTTGCGGCAGCTGTTGAGCGCCACGCGGCTGCTGGGGTTCGCCGTCATGCAGTTCACCATCGCCCTGGCGGGTGCGGACACACGCGCAAGGGCGGTGGGTGGCGTGGGAGGAGGGGGGGTTGTGTTGTGGGGGGGAGGGGCGAGGGGGTTGGGAGTGTGGCGAGGGGGGAAGGACGGGGTTGATGTGTGTGAGAGAGGCACCCTAAACCCTGGAGTTCAATGCCACGCATTCACCATATTTCTGCAGGGAGGGGGTCATGTGTTGCTGGCGGGCGGATATGCGCGTAGAGAGGTGGGGGTGGATGGTGTGGGAGAGAGGGGAGTGCCAGAGTGGGCAGGGAGGCGCGCACAGGCAAGACGCTTAAAGAATTCTCCAACGAAAACTGCTTGCATTGGCACTGGCATGATCACATATTGTACTACACTATGCTCACAGGTGCGACACGCACTCACATGTGCGACACCATGCTCACAGTTGCGACACGCACTCACATGTGCGACACGCACTCACATGTGCGACACGCACTCTCATGTGCGACACCATGCTCACATGTGCGACACCATGCTCACATGTGCGACACCATGCTCACATGTGCGAGACCATGCTCACATGTGCGAGACCATGCTCACATGTGCGAGACCATGCTCACATGTGCGACACCATGCTCACATGTGCGAGACCATGCTCACATGTGCGACACCTGCGTGGCGGCCCATCCGCAGTTGAAGACAGCGGCAAAGACGCTGTAGCTGGCGGTCTCAATGGCGGTGGAGTCGGATCCCAGCAGGTAGCACACCAGGCACCCACCGAACACGGACGAGAACGACACCACCGTGCACACCGACCCACCGAAGTGCCACAGCTTGTAGTGCCCAAACCGGTCGATCTGGGTTAGGAAGGGGAGGGACGCACTGAGGATGATGCACTGAGGACGAGGGGGGGAAGCAGTGCGCGCAGCACAGGTACACGCGCGTTGCACGGACTGCTATGTCCCGTGCCTGGAATCACACATCAGGGGCGACGGTTATAGACTAGTCTTTAGCCAGGCCACACAAGGTTGGCGCTGCTCTTAGCTTTGCCATTTCACTCGAAGCTGTTTCAAACTTTCTGAGATTCGCGCCCGTTTCTCCCATTTCTCCCATTTCTCCCATCTTCTCTATCGCTACTGTTCCTCCCGTTTCCCCCATCGCCACTGCGCATCCCATGTGCTCCCATTGCTCGCATGGCTCTCACCAGCTCGCCCGCCACGAGGGTGGCAGCAGCATCTGCGAATTGACCCGACAGCATCACCACTCCCGCCTGCCTGCAGACAGACACGTGGAGTCAGGGCTATGAACGAGAGGGGCAGAGGCGGGACAAGTGTTTCGGAGAGAGTAGGAGCAAGAGAAAGAGAACTGGAGAAAGAGAGCTGGAGAAAGAGAGTTGTTTGTATTTCGATTTATTCAAGCCTGCTTCCCACATTCAAGCGCCCATTGCACCATCTATAAGCGCTCTCCAGGCACCTGCACCCACCGCCGGTCGTTCACGCAATTCTAGAACCTACTGTATCGATAGGGAGCTCCCAAACTCCCCCACAACTCGCGCGCAACAGCCCCCATGTCACGACGTACTCAGTTGGAATCCCGATACGACGCATTGTGAGGGAAGCCAGAAGGGGGGGAGGCGGCGGAGCGACGTACTGGGGAGAGAGGCCGATATCCGAGAGGTAGATGAGGAGGTAGGTGAACCAGCACGCCGCCGTGATGTCGTTTAGCATGTGCCCCGTGCCGTACGCCAGAACCTGCCACCGCGGGAGCGCGCGCCGGCACGGGCCCAGCGGCAGCACGTCGTCGCTTCCGGTCGAGCCTCGGCTCAACGACGGTTCCAAAAGAGGGAGGTAACCGTCGAGACGGGGATCTGACCCGCCGTTTGCGGCGTCCTTGACGAGGCCATTTCCAGTGCTTAGCGGCGGAACGACTATGCAGAGTTCTGGCTTGGAATCGCGTTGCGACGATGATGACGGGCCCATTCGCGCTGGTCGTAAGCACGATAGTATGTGGCTAATAGACGGTGCTGCCGCTAACTGATGGTGGATCGTCGCAAAAGAGACAGTCGGCTAATTGATCACGGAGCGACTAAAGGTCGAACATAGAATGTTTTAGTATGGAAAAACTAGGAACAGCCTAGGACGAGCGCGAGGGATTGCGTGATGCTGTTGAAGGAAACAAGGTCGGAAACTTCATGGACGATTCGATTCAGTCAGTGCTGCCAGACGCGAGTGCGAGCACTGTAGCGCTAATTCCCACGTTGCGCTGGAAGCACACGTCAGATTGATCAGCCATGGCCGCCTAGCCAATGAACCACATAAAATGCTGTGCTGCTTTCCAGGTTCTCAGAGCGCCTCTGCTAGCATCATCCAGCGCAGACGGGAGCTCGAGGCACACACGAGCACCGAGGCAGCCATGCCTGGCACTGGGGCTTGCGGAGGAGAATGCAGAGCACCAAGACGCGACGGACCGTTGGGAATTGCAGGGCTCCCCCGCTTCGCTCCCGTAATTCACTGGCGGAGTGACTGTACGACGCGACAAGGTCGATTTGTTCCGCGGATGTCAGATGTAATCGATTTGTTTCCCCACCGCGAGATGATGTGTTGCTGGAACTTCTGCCCGTACGCCACACCGTACGTTGAGCCTATTCGAGGAATCGCTCCTGAGGTTCAAGCGTGGCCAATCACTGTGAGTCGACTCGATGTACCTATGCGTGGGAAGAGGACGGACAGTTGCCCCAATCGTGAGACGTGGCTCAACGGAGAAATCGAGGATGATGTGTGATGGATGTTCAGCAACGCCACTTCACGCTGGCAATAACGGGGAAATCGAGAACCCCGTATGAAATGCCATTCTACAATCCGATTTCCGCTGCTTTACACAGTTCAGTGCAAGGTCTCTATATCTGACTATGGAGGTACTCAACAGGCGTGCGTCTTCCTGGCCATACACCACCAAGCTGCAGTGTTCTACAACCTCCTGTCATGCAACTTATTCCACACAAGCCAATCAATGCAATCGGTATTCCAAAAGCACGACAAACAAATCAATCATGGAACAAAAACAAACCTTACCAGCTTCGCACTCAGCATGCCTAGCATTGTATACCATCCTCAGCAGCTTACTGAGCAGAAGGCGCTCAATGGTGATGATGATGGTGGTGGTGACGCGACGACGACGCAACGCCTGTGGTGCTCCCGCTAGCAACCCCCGACCTACTCCGGTGCGTTGAGTGCCCCCCTGTGGCAGTGCGAGTGCGGGAAGAGTGATGCGCGCCGCTACTTGTCCCATGGTGTGCCCGGTGGTGGCCGCTCCCTGTGCCCCCTCCGCCAGATGAACCACTAGCACCCCCGGCTGCAGCCTTCCTGAGCCCGCTGCTGCTGCTCCCCCCGGTGCGGTGGCGCGAGGTGCTGGTGCCAGCAGTGCGCGAGGCGGAGCGCGAGGAGTGCCCGTGGTGCAGCTGGGGGGCACCCGCCCCACGTGCTTTGAGGGGGTCCGAGAGAGCGTCGCGCGAGGAGGGCGTCTTGATGGGGCGCTGGTTCAGGTACAGCAGCTGGGGCAGCAGACCTGGCGGGGAGGAGGGGAAGGGGGGGGGGGGGAGAGGGGGAGGTGGGGGGGGAAGAGGGGGACGGGAGTGGGGGGGGTGGAGGATAGACAGGCTCACATGCATGAACTGCTGGCCAGATGCACACGCACGGCACAGCCTGTCACAGCCACAACCAGCAGGCAAGCATAGGCCCACCCAGCAGCCATCCCCACCCACCGATGAGGTAGCGCTTGAAGGCATCGTCCCCCAGGTTGACGTGGATGGGGTTGCCCGCCAGGTTGAGCGCTCGCAGCGAGGCGTAGTTGGCGGCGAGCTGGCCGAGCGCCTTGGTGGTGGTGACCTTGTTGCCGCCCAGGTCCAGCACCGTGAGCTTCAGCAGGCGGTGCAGCCCCTCCACCTCGCCCACCCTATTGCCCGCCAGGTACAGCTCTCGCAGCGCCAGACAGCCCGATAGGCCTGGCGGAGTGAGGAAGAAGAGGAGGGACGACAGGAGAAAGAGAGAGGGGGTAGTGTGGGGATGATGGATTGGGTTGGAAAATGGAGAGGGACAATGGATAAAATCACAATTCGGGCAAATGCACCCTCTTCAGTGCAACATGCGCACTCACACTCCAGCAAGCAACATGCGCACTCACATTCCAGCAAGCACGGTCAGCACATTCCAGCAAGCAACATGCGCACTCACACTCCAGAAGCTCTTCCTTCCAGTCATCTCAAGCACCACAGAGGACCACAACACACCATGCCGACCTCGCTGCAGAGCAGCGCCCCATGCCCTCACCGTGGCCGATGCGCGCGAGGCGGTTGTTGGAGAGGTTGAGCACCTTGAGGCGCGACAGCTCGCGCAGCCCCTCCACGGCCGCCAGGCGGTTGTGCGACAGGTCCAGGATGTGCAGCGACCGAGGCAGCACGCCCGCTGCCACTGACGCTGGTGGTGCGAGGGTGAGAGGGTTTGGGGGACAACAGGGTGAGTGCGGTTGGCTGTGCGACAGGCCCAGAATGTGCAGCCGCGGAGCACCCACACCCCACCACACGGAGGCTGGTGGGATGCACGAGCGTGAGTGGGGTCAACAGGCAAGGGGTGAGTGATTCAGGGGGTGGTTGGGGTTGGGAAGAGGATGAGTGGAATACGACATGACGGAGTTGCAATGGGAGAAACGAAGGCCGAGAGGACACCAGAGAGAGGGAGAGAGAGCAGCTCGCAGCGCACACTCATAAGGGCCGTGAACCATCTGTCAGCGGGGGGAGGCATGGCCACGGCACTCACTGATGTTGTTGCGCGACAGGTCGAGAGTCTTGAGCGACGAGAACGCCCCCAGCGGCGGCACGACCAGCAGTCCGCGCATGGAGAGGTACACGGCGGCCGCGTGCTTGTCGAGCCCCCGCACCACCCGCCCCGCATGCTCCGCCGCCGCTGCCGCCCCCACCGCCACCGCCGCCTGAATGTTCCCCCCTGTGGCCGCCGCGCCCCCGTGCATGTGGCCGTGCGACATGGACCGCTTGCTCATGGCGCTGGCCGAGTGGTGGTGGTGGGGCGCGGGGGGCGATTGTGGGGGGAGCAGCGCGCTGCTGCCAGCGTTCTTGCTGCTGCTGAGGGTGCTCCAGTGCTCGATGGACTCGGACGGCTCCCACTGCCCGTGTTTGAGGCACCGCACCCATGCTTCCACGCGCGCCATGCCCCCAGCCACATCGCCGTCATCTCCCCCGCCTTCTCCGCCTCCTCCGCCCCCCCTCCCGCCGCACCTGCCGCTTTCGCCGCGGAAATCGCTCCGCCAATGCCTTCCCCCGCGCCGATTCCCGCGCTTGCGCTCCCTTCCGCTGCGGAGAGCTGCACGTCCCCCAGCTCCGGCATGGACTGCGCGTCCGCCGCCCCCACGTCCGCGGCGACTGCCTCTGCGCCGACGGGGGAGGACGCGCCTGTGGGCGGGCAGGCGAGGAGAAGGTCCCCCGTGGTGCGGATGCGCGGAAGCATCAGGTCAGAGCGGGGCTCAGTCCGCTCCGCCTGGTCGCTAGTTGCGCCTTCACTGGCTGCAGAATCCCCGCGCCAATGTCCGCTTGGGGGGGGGCGGCGGAAGCGTCCCGCTGCGGAAGGCCATCCGCGCCTCTGGCATCGACGGCGGATGGGCCCAGAGAAAACGGCTCCTCTCCCCCACGAGGCCCTTCCGCTTCCTCCCCCTCTGGACTGAAGTACATTTCCGCCCGTGCCGCGCGGATCTCCTCCCGCGCATCCCGCGCAGCCTCCTGCGCCGCTTCCTCCTCCGCCTCCTCGTCCCACGGCAGCACGGACAGCGGCCCCGACACCCCCAGCTGCAGGTGGTCCAGCAGCAGCGCCGTGTCGGAGTGCGCGGACGCCTGGCTCCGCGCATCGTCGTCGTCTTCCGCCTCGTCCGCGCTCCCGCCTCCCCTTCCGCCACGGCCTGCGCCTCCGCCCAGTCGTCCTTCATGTTCTCGAGGTGCCCCGTCATGTTGTGCCACATCGTGCCGTACTCCGCCACTCGCGCCGACTCCGCGTCGTCCGCGTGCTGCCCGTCCGCGCTGCCGTCCTGCTGAAGTGACGTGCGCCAGAACTGGAACCCCATGACGTCATCATTCTCGTTATCGTTACCGTTATCGTAGTCTTCGTCCGCGTCGAATCCGTCTGCTCCCGTCCCATCCCGATAACCAAACCCTTCGTTTCCACCCTCCCCAAACTTTCCCCCATCTTCCCCCTCTTCCCCCTCGTCTTCGTCCCCCTCTGCGCGCATCTTACCGCGGTCGCCGCCGGGGTGCAGGCCGCCGTGCGCGTCGAACAAGCGGTCGTAGTCGTCGTGCTCCATGGTCGTGCGGCTGCGGCTCCACAGCGCCACATTCTCCACGGACGCGTCGCTCAAAAAGGCGCTCTTCTCCGCCTCCTCGCGCGCCATCTCCGCTTCCGCCTCCCCGCGCTCCCTGGATGGAGACCCGTCTCGATCAAGATCACCCGCAGTCGGGCTGACGGGCGTCGTGTGAGAATAGTTGGACTTGTTCGCGACGTCGTCGTCCGGGCTGCCCCATCGCATGGCCTGCGACAGCGCCAACTCGTTCGCCGTCTCCTGCTGGAAATAAACCCCCGGATCGCTCAGATGATCCATCATACCGTCATCATCCGCGTCCTCCACGTCAGCACGGAATCCATCGTCGTGTCGCTCCATTAGCCCGTCGTCCCTCTGCCCACCTCCGCTCCGCGGATCTGCGACCAGCACCCCGGCCTCCCCCTCGCGCGCCATGCTCTCACCCACCCGCCGAGTGTCTCCCCTCCCCGTGCCGCGTCACCTTGCCGTCACCTAGAAATCCTCCCGCGACCACCGGCGAAACCCTGACCACGCTTCGGCAGATCTCGCCCCTAACGGTCGAAACTCGAGCACCGGGGCCGATGCGGCTCCAGGACAGGCACGCGAGTGGATCCCGGCCTACTCGCGCGGCGAACTCGCGGGCACGCGGCATCCACGTGCTCTGGACCCCTCGCAGGAGCTCGCGCCCAGCCAGATCGCCAACCATCCAGCGACGCGCGCTCCTAAGGAGCAGTGAGCGACGCTTAGAGTGTAACAGAAGCTAACTACCGACGGAAGTGGAAAGTATTAAATACGGCGGAGAGAATCAGCAGTTCAGTGGCTTGTCCTAGTAGAGTGAGCTGGTCCTGTGCTGTGCTGGCGGGGTTCCATCAGCAGGGTTGGGTTGGGGTTGCTTGCTGCTGGCTCACCTCGGGAATGCCGAGCTTTTGGCTTTGTCAGCAGCAAGGCGGGCCAAGGGAAGCCCGGTCCCAGCCCTGGATGGATGGTGGATGGATGTGCGCCGCTCTGTGGTCTGCGCCGCTTTGGCGGCTATTGGGGAGATGGAATTCGGGGTGCCCGGCATTCCCAAACAGACTGTCACCACCAAAACATTCCCGCGGTTGGGCATCCGCGCTACGGAGATGTCTAGAAACATCTGAAGGATGGAGGAATTCACTGGTGATCTACTCGGTATGAAACAAATTGGCACACACTACGGTGAACATAATTAATTGCTTAAGAATTCAAGTATCTTAATCTGGCTGACTGCTTTCTTTGTGCCAATGCCCTCATGACACTCCGGAACGCCCCCGAGGAGGCAACGTCCCGCGCTAGTTGACCTTGCTCCTTGTCAAGGACTCTGGAGAAGGGGTTGTACTGTGAACTAGCCCATGCAAAGTGCACCCACACCCGACGCAGTGCGGCTTGCTTGAGGGCGAGCTCTTGTGGAGGGATGCTGGTGAGGATGTCGTGAAGGTGAGGGATGTCTGAAGGAGTGAGCCTCACTGCGAAGTCGTCCCAATCCAAGAAGCCGTCGCCCTCAAATGGCATGCTCACATTCGGCTGGTGAGGAGGAAAGTAGGGGGAAGACGATTTAGGGGAAGCCAAGTTGGATGTACTACATCACGCTGCAGCAAGTAAACTATACTGTGACTAGAGAAGGAATTGACTTCTCACCTGTATAATTACTGGGATGCATCCGAGGGTCACAGCCTGAGTGGCCCTCTCATCAGCCCCCCACCCCCCTGCCACCAGGCAGAACACCGACCGTGCCATGCACTCCAAGTAACTCCCCCCTCCTCCCATCTCCCCTCCCTCTCCTCCTTGGCCCTCCCCGTATCCCCCCTCCCCCTGAGTGCGTTCGATGACGAACCCCTTGGGCACGGCAGCAGCGGATTCAAGCGAGTCAAACCAGTCAAAGAGGGCCTGCCGCACTCCGGACGAGTAGCTGAACCCCAGCACTGGCTCCACGTCCCGCCCGTCAAACCCCCTAAAGAAGAACAGAATATCCCGGGATCCAGCCTCCCCAGCTTCCCCTTGTGTTGTGTGATGTCATCATATGCTATCACATTCTGTCTGCCTCCCATCCCATGTTTTTTCAACTTGCATGTGTGGTTTGAATGTGCAAGCATTTGTGTGTGGTGTGTTCTGGAGTTTGGGAATGTGTTTTGTGTTATTCTGTCTGAGCAGGTATTTGTGATAATAGATCTTGAGAAGATCTTTCCGACGCAACAAGAATCGCTTCAATCGGAGCAAGAACGCGAAAGCTATGAAGATTCAAAGTTCATGAGCTTGCGTTACAATTGCGGCGGTTACTAAGTGAAGTTGTGGGGTGACTTTATATGGAGTTGGGACCTTTGGGGTTGGGGAAACTTGTCACTCCACTGTAACAGCTGCAAATTGGTTGGGAACAACCAAGCTAGGTTGGCAAGGGTGGCCAACTTGGATGGATTGGTTGGGAAGGGACAAATGTCAAAGTTGGGGTTCCTATAGGGAGGGAATCTTTGTGCTTATGGGGTTTCCTTGGTTGGGGACTCTCTTGGGACCTTCCCTCTCATCCCTCTCTTCCTATCCCAACCTTTCTCTTGCTCCTTCTAATTCCTTGTGAGATTCTTGAACTTTGATTGAACCTTTGAGATTGAGTTAAGTTCTCCTCCTACAGCTTACCCCCTAGTGCGTCGAAAGCCATAGCGTCGCGAATACTTTATCAATCAACATGATTCAAATTGGGAACGGTAGCTGAGATTAAGAGCTACAACATATCCAAGTTTCGCGACATTCCAACGGCTAGTTGTTTGTCGACGTCGTTTCTTGTGAAGACGACTTTTCTGTCCAGAATTTCGGATTTATATTTTGAGTAATTCTAGCTCCTAAGTTCACCTAGACTCCGTCCTTAATCCTAACACCTTGAACACCATTGGCTGCCTCGTACACCTCAGGCAGCAGAACGGGCGGGATGACAACATCCTGCCCGGGAATGAAGCAGCCGGGCAGGGAGGGATCCAGCGGCATGTTCCCACGGTACCCCCACAGCGACAGCACTGTGCTGCGTGCCAGCATGGGGTCGCGCCGCCCGGCCTCGCCGATCTCGCACGCCGCCCAGTCATCATTGGCGAGGAACACGTGGTCGGCGCCAGCGTGGCGGTCCCAGTAGGGCCACGCGTCCCTCATGTGCTCTATTGCCCACGACAGCACGCTCTGCTTCGCTGCGCCGCGGTGGCTGTGGCATGGGGGATGGGAGGGAGGGAGGAGGAGGCAGCATGGTCATGTGGGACGGAAGCAGTGGAGGGTGAAGTATCTGTACGACTCATGATTATATGCTGACTAGATGCTGACTGGAAGCTGACTGGATGCTGACTCACCGCAGCAGTAGAGGCACGTAAAACAGGTCAGCCTCCTCAGGGTCAGCAGTCCGCCATGCTGACGTCAGCAGGGCATCCAGAAACACATACCCCTCCCACCGGTCCCTCCCTGCCCCCAGCACGCCCTGCCACGTGTTCAAGTACCCGGGCAGCTCGTACACAAATATTTTTGGCCGGGCAGCTGAGATCAGAGCAGGGGAGGGTGGGGGGACGGCATCGGTCCAGAGGAAGGGTCTCCTGCGCTTAACTCTGGTGGCGCCGTGGGGGTCAAGGCTCAGAGCACAGTCAATGCCGAACATGCCCCGCTCACACTTGCACACTCCCTCTACACACTCCCCCCTTGCTCCTCTGCTCCCACTCTGCTCCCCCTCCCCCTCTCCTGCATACTCTCCCTCTTCCTCCCCCTCTCCCTCCCCCCCCCCCCTCCACTGTCAGCGCCGCACGCGCCGAAGCACTCAAAGGGCACCCACCCTGGTTGCTCACAGCCGTCGCCGGAGTAAAGGGCGGGGCAGCTGGAGAGATGGGGTGGTGGCGGAAGGGGAAGAGGAGAGGCGATTCTGAGACGTCTTGAATGGGCACCAGGGGAAGAATGGGAGCACACCCCGGCTGCTCACAGCCGTCGCCAGGATTGAGGGCGGGGCAGCTGGAGAAATGGGGTGGTGGTGGGAGAGAGAGAGACTTTTGAGACATGCTGAAAATAGAAATAGGTGCACAATGGGAGACTGCTTTTGAGTCGACTCAAAAATAGAAAATGGCGCACAATGGGAGACTCCACCCCGGCTGCTCATGCTCTTGCGCGACTTGTGTGCAGGGCAGGGGGGGTACTTTTGAGTCGACTCATAAGGCAGGGGGGGTACGTGATGGGAGAAGAGGGGGAACAGAAAGGAGGCAGCATGAGTGACAGGAGGAGGTCATCACACGATAGTCCGTTGCATGAGCTGGCAAACACACGCAATGGGCTCGTCTCGTCTCACAAGCCAGTACGTACTGACGCAGACTTGAGCTCTTCTTTGAGCTGCTGTTACGATGAACAAGCAATCGCCATGCCACCACTCACTCGCATGTGCGGCTGCGCCTGTCACACACACCAACACCGGAGCAGTTATACGGGCACTCGTGCGGCGCTCCAACCCTCCCTCCGCTCCGCTCCCCCTCCTCCTCGCCGTCCCCCGCCCCCCCTGGCCCCACCCTGTCCGCCAGCCCCACCTCGTTGCCGCGCCCGTCCAGCACGGGCGCCATCTGCCGCTGCTCGTACAGCCGCCCCACATCCACCCACGCCCCACGCCGTCCCGGGAACTCACTCCACACCTCCCCTTCCTTCACCTTCTCCGCCTCGTCCCCTTCTTCCCCTCCCTCCTCCTCCTCTGTCGCCCCTGCCTGCCCGGAAGTCTTGTCTGTATCACGGGCAGCTGTCCTGTTGATGCCCTTGATCCAGCCAATCAGAGCATCTTTCACCCCACCAGCAGTGAAAATGGAGGAGGAATTGGATACAGTGCCACGGCCAACCCCAGAACCAGCAGCACCAGCAGCGCGAGTAGCAGCAGCAGCGGCAGCAGCGGTATCATTCGCCCCAACGAGCGCCCCACTCTCATCGAAGCACTGAGGCAGGTGCTCCAGGCGGTACCGATCGCACTCCCGCACGCATGCACAGGATGTCGCCACGTGGCACGGCGTCCACACGTCCGGCGCCAGCTGGCAGCTGGGCATGGCCAACACGTGGCAGTGCTTGCCCGTGAATCCAGGGACGCAGTGACACGTGGCAGTGGCCTCGTTGCAAGTGCCACGGAGGAAGCAGAGGGAGGAGCAGTTGGAGGGAGGCGAGGAGGAGGAGAGGGATGTGGGGAGTGAGGAGGAGACGGAGGGGTGGAGGGGAGGTGCCGAATTGTGGGAGAGAGATTGAGACGATGGCAGTGATGGCAGTGATGGCAGGAAATGCAGCTGACTCGATGCACCATCACCACGCACACTACCCTCCCCGCCCTCCCCTCCCCCCTCTTTCCTCCCTTCCTGCTCTCCTTCCCCCTCTTCCACCACCACTCCCCCGACAGTGTACCATCTCCTGCCCCCCGCCCCACGCCCTTTCCCCCACGCTCCCCCCCTCGCCCCACCCACCCATCCACGTGCCTAGCCCCCCCTACTTGATATCCTCCCGCCATCTTGCTGGCGCGGGGAAAGGCAGACATGCCCCCCTCACCAGGTGCCGCCTGACCCCCTGCTGCAGATAGCGTCACCACGCCCTGCCCACTGAAGCTTTCAACTGCCCGGACTCGCTGCCCGAGGGCAGCCATGATGGAAGAAAAGGCGTCTGAGGAGGCGAGCAGGGGGCGAAGCTTCTTCTGCAGATACAGCAGGCTGGAGGGCGAGGAGGCCGAGGAGGAGGCAGAGGAGGAATACGAGGAGGAGGGAGCGGAGGGAGAGAGCGGGTTGTATTGCGGCGAGGCCCAGAGCAGCCGGGGCCAGGCGGCCTTCATGGCGGTGCGGCGGCGAGCAACCTCCTGAGGGCCCACCGCACGCAGGATCTCGGGGAGCTCTGGCAGCTGCTGGGGGGGCAGGACGAGCGCCAGGGACGGCCAGTCGATGATGTTGGCATCGGGAAGAGACCCGGTACCTGCGAAGGGCTGCTCGGTGTCGGGCTGGATGATGACAGGGATGCAGCCGAGAAGGACCGCCCGCACCACTGTGTCACTGTAGCCGGTGGCGGGCGTGGGAGCGAGGCAGAACTGCGAGCGCAGCATTGCCTCTGTCACCTCCCGCTCCTCCCTCCACTCCCCGCCCTCCTCCTCGCCCGCCTCCTCCCCTTCCCCGCCCTGCCCGTCCTGCCCTCCCCCCTCCCCGGTGCCCCCAGCTGCAGTATCCTGAACCCCACCTGCTGCTGCCGGTGGGAGAAGAGCTGCAGGAAGTGCAGGGCTATACCCGATATGGGCTGATTCGGTACAAGATCCAAAGGCAATGACGAAGCAGCAAGTGAATCCCTATGCGCTGCACCCCACCCTCCTCCAGGCGCCTCCCAGTCTGCTCCCCCCTCCCTGCACTCACACGCCCCACGCCCCCCACACTCAACCCCCCGCTGCTGCCCCTGCTGCCTCCCTCCCTCCGGCCCTCCTTCCCCCCACTCCCCTGGTGGCGAAGAGCAGCAGCGTGGGGCGGTCGGGGGTGCCCTCGAGGGGCTCTCGGACGAAGGGCGAGGCGAGCACCGCGGAGGGGGGCAGCAGTGGGGGGATCACCACGTCCTGACCGGGAATGAAACACCTCCCTCCTCCTTGCTGCTGCTGCTGCTGCTGCTGCTGCTGCTGCGCTATTGTTGTCCCCCTTGTTCCTCCCATCCTGCCATCTCCCGCCCCTCCCTCGTACCCCCATGGCGTCAGCACCACTGCTCGCTCCAGCCGTGGATGTCTCTGCAGCGCCATCCCCCTCCCCTCACTCTCCTCCACCCCCCCCCTCCCCGCACCCCCCCTACCGCCCCCCCTGCCTGGCCGCATCTCACACGCCCCCCAGTCGCCGTTGAGCAGGAAGACGTGGTCGGCGCCGTTTGTCCTGTTCCAGAAGGGCCAGTGGCGGCTGACATACGCCACTGCTGCTTCGATGGCGTCCCACCCCGCCATCGCCATGCCACCGCTCATGCCCATGCCTCCCATGCCTCCCATGCCTCCCATGCCGGATTGGCCGCGATTCCTGTTGGTTGCGGATGGGAGAGGGAGGGAGGAGAGAGCGTGAGTGAGGTGCAGCCAGCAAGTTACAGCCTGCAGCTGCACCTGTTGCTCTCCTGCTTTGGTGTGGCAAGTCAGGTGCTACCGCTGCCACACCTCACCTGGTTGGCCCTGCACGAAGAAGCAATCCGCCCCCTCCCCCTCCACGGTCGTTCGCCCATCCACCGTGCCCGGGGGGTTAGTCCACCGCGCCTGACTGCTCCCAGTGCCGCGTCTCACCTGGTGATCAGCGGCACGTAGAAGTAGTCCGCCTGCTCCCCATCCACCGTCCTGCGCCCGTCCGCCAGCAGCCTCTCCAGGAACAGCAGCCCCTCGGGCCGGTCCAGTGCGCCCGACTGCTCCCACTGCCACGTGTTCAGCTCCGGGGGGAGATCATACACGTACACCCGCGGGCGGGGCTCCTTGCCTTGTGGCGCCGCCCGGAAGGGCGGGGACTGGGGCGGCCATCTGAAGGTGGGGTTGGAGAGAATGCTGGGGGCGGCGAGGAAAGAGGGATAGGGGTGGTTGAGAGGGGCGAAGGAGGGTGGGAAGAGATAGGAGAAGAAAGAATGGGAGGGGGTAGTGCAAGAGTGAAAGAGCGAGAGGCCATGTGAGCCAGTTCCTCAGTATGGCTGCAAGTGGTTTAGAGTGCTTCTCCACCATACCCCTCATCCTCACCTCATCTGCCTCGTGCTTGGGTCCACTGACAGAGCATTCGCTGCCAGCCTGGCAGGCACGAGTGCTGCCCTCACAATTGCCCCTGCGTCTCACCCTGATCCGTCATCCCGCACCTTGGCTTTCTCGTGATGGGGTCCAAGGACAGCGAGCAGTCGATACCGAAGCTGCCAGCCTGGCAGGCGCACGTGCCTCCCTCGCACGTGCCGCGCCCGCTGCACGCGTTCACACACTGCATGCCCCCGGCCGCTCCTCCTCGCACCCCGGGCCCGCATAGCGCCACGCGCACCTGGTGAGGATGGGAGGGAAGGGAGGAGGTTCGAGTGAGAGTGACAGGGAGGGAGGGCGTGGGTGAGACAATAATCCACTTGTTCTTCTTTCAATCTTGCACGCAGTCAGTACAATAAGGAGCATGGGATTTGGGGCCGATGTGAGAGCGCATCACCCACTCGCATGTCTTGCTGGCGTCACGGCACAGCCCTCGCCCAGAGCACCCCAGGGGGCATTCCCGGGGGTCCGCGTATCGCTCCCGCAATTGCCACGTGTACCACGCCCACATCTGCATCTGCGCTCCGCCCGCCATCCGCCCGCGGGCTGCCTGCGCTCTCCCCCCTAAAGCAACCGCTCCTGCGCCCTCTGCGTTTCCCAAATCGTTCCGCGCGCCCCCAGTCGGCATGTCCCTTCCGCCCACCCCTTTCCAGCGCACATTGCGCGCCCCTTCCCATCTCCGCGAGCTTTTGCGCAGCGCGGGCAGATCGTTGCTGTGCGCCCTGATTGGCCTACGTGTACCGCCCGAAGCTCCCCCAGCCACTGCCGCGGACGCAACCGCTCCGTTCCCCGCGCCAGTCTGCACTTCCCCTTCTGCCATCCCCAGGTCCGCCTCATTCCCCCCTTCCGCGGCGCCGACCGTTATGACCTCCGCGCGAAAGATGTCCGCCAGCGAGCGTGGGGGAATGGCGGAGGCATTTGAGGAGGCGTTGAAGCACACCGCGCCGGGGCCGATGAGGTGAAACGCGCGGCACTCGCGCGCGCACGCGCAGGTGGAGGGGAGCGCGCACGGCGTGCGGAAGCCTGGCGCAAGCTGGCACGAGGGGAAGGCGTCGGCGTCGCACGAGTCGCCCGTGAGACCCGCAGGGCAGTCGCAGCGACCGAGCTCCTCGTTGCACGTTCCGCGGTGCAAGCAGCGCCTCGAGCACCGGGACTTGATTTGGGGGTTCCATCGGCTGGCGGCGTGCGAGGAGTCGAAACCTTCCTCCTCATCTGGACCGTCTGTTAGGGCTAATCTGGTCAGATCGACGACTGCAAACAGGGCGAGGAGAAACGCGACTGCGAGGATGGCAAGGCGGGAGAAGCGGCGCAGCCCGGTTGGGGAAGTCCGAGAGGACTTAGTGGAAGGCTTTCCGGAGACAGGTGATGGCGGAGGGGAAACCTTCTTACTGCGAAGCAAATAGTTGCTCTCTCCTGACTGCTGGGACCATTTAAAGCGGATAAGCCGCGCGGTAAAACTATATATTTTTCGCCACCAGCCTGAGCCACGCGGACCTGGTGTGCTGGTCGCCGTGAAGCGCGTGGGAGCGCAGACGACGTGGTACTTAGAATCCATCATAAGGCCACCTCTCCCTGGAGTGCATCACGATGTAGGGCAGCAGTGGTGACTATCTCGAGGATGGCAGTTCCGTGGCGAATCCTAGGCTGCTCTAATGGAATGAAATGAAAGGTCAGGCGAGGTAAGTTCAAGGTTGACAGGGAGGGATGATTCCTGGGATTAGTTGGCGCGGATGACAGGGGGACTGTCAGGTCGAGAAGGTTGTGGGTTGGATGTGGCGGGAAACTGTGTCAGAGATTTGAAGTGTCCGCAATATAGAGCAAAAAACGTGAACAGAGGCGTGTCCAGGTTTGCAGGTCAGACTGTGCAGTTTGCAGCTAATTTATAATAAACTCTAATAGCCCACATTTCCTCTATCATTCATATTTTCGGTTCAGTATAGCAATTTACCCGTATAATATGTGTCTGAAGACTTCACCTACCTATACATGCGCTCATACATTTCTCGCATCACTTGATCTGCTGGTCGTTATTGGAATCAATATTGAAAAAGAGAGTTTCACCCTGCCATAAGACCTCATGAACAGGGGTGAGGGGGATGGAGGTTCTAAGCTAATCCTATGCATTGTGTGCAAATTTGATGGATTTAGATAATTGTTATTTTGTAGAGTGCGCCTAAGCAATCAGTCTGTATGGAAATCGATTCTGGCCCCGCAGCTGACATTTCCCCTTATCCCGCCACACCTCCCCCTTGAGATTGTCGGTGTACTGGGAACTCAGCTCCTAACGATCTCCCCAGTTCCACTGAATTATTAGATCGCTTCTTAGAAACGGGCATCGCGGCTTGCTTAGGCTATATTTCGTCGCCTCTGGACAAGAAGCTTATCTTCCGAATCCTGTGTTCGACCATCTGGCTTGAATCGCGTAGCGTGCGTATCCAATCTGCCTTCCTGAATCTGTCCTCATGGTGGTCTGCAAATGTCGTAAGGTGTGTCGCCTGCGATCAGTCGAATGTGTGTCGTGGTATCCTTGTACTTTACTACTTCAAGATCCCGGGTTTTCGCGACAGGCCTACTGCAAAAGCTAGTTTGTGCAATCAGATATTGACCGAAGAACCTAGCTTGTGTCGTTGACGGATTAACCGTTTCGCAACGGACCTCATCTCCCGAATCCCGTGCTTCGATTGGTTTCGAATTCCGTGTCAGGCCACCAAGCTCTACTGCTTCGTGCACAAGACGCCCGTGTGCTTCGACTGCATATGCGCTCCCGACCACCAGCACTGCGTGGTACGTCCCGTCGCCTCCAATTCTTCCTGCTACCAGAGGGTTGTCGCCATTTCTGGTGTTCCCCTCCGGATCGTCTTTGTCGTGTTGGGATCCGTTACCCTCCTCCCTACTGCCGCCTGTTCCGCCAGCCAACAAGGCATATGGCTTTCGTGTCCGTGCTCCCCCTTCCCTCCTCCTTCCTCTTCTCGTGTCCGTGCTCCCCTTTTCCTCCTTCTCCCCCACTCCCCACGTCCAATCACCCCAGGTATGGCAGTACTCGGACTGGGTGAACGACGGCGACTACGACTGGCCGCCGCACTGCGCAGTGTGCAGCGAGTCACTCGAGGATTCTGACAAGCCCACCATCCGCCTCTCCTGCCTACGTGCGTCCGCTGCTCCTCCTACCCCTAGCTTCCAGCGCTCGCTACGCTAGCTTCCCGGTGCCCTCTTAAAGCCTATCAGCCTTTTTTGGCCCCTGACTTCATGGTTGTGTGGTAACCATGCTGCGTGTGTCGTCTCCTGGCTGCAGACGTGCCGCACTCCGAGTGTCTAAAGAAGCACGTGGAGTCGTTTCCGCCCAACACGGCGCCAGCGGGCTTCACATGCGCCTCCCCTGGGTGTGGCCTCGAGGTACGCCGCTTGGGCTGGCACTGGCGTTCCTATTGCCAAGGGCGTGGGGATCAGCAGAGGCCCTCCCCTTTCGTTGTTTGCTCGTCCTTTTCACTCATCTGTGTGTGTGTGTGTGTGTGTGTGCGTGGGTGTGTGTGTGTGGGGAGGGGGCTTGTGTGGGGATGTGTGTGGGGGGTTGGGTGGGGGGGTGTGTATGTGGGTGTGGGTGTGTGTGTGTGTGTGTGCATGTGTGTGTGTGTGGGGGGAGGCCGGGGGAGGGGAGGGAGGCGGGTGAGTGTGTGCGTGCGTGCAGATATGGCCAGCCAGGTCGCACAAGGACTCCGCCACGGCGCTCTACACGCACCTCCGAGCACTCCTGGCGCAGGTGAGTGTGTTTCACGCGCGCTCTCTTGCCGCTCTACACGCGCCTCAGAGCACTCCTAGCGCAGGTGGGTGTGTCCTAACCGCTCCCTCTTGCCTCAGGCCTGCGCAGCACACCTGCTGCATCCCTCCAGTCGCACATGCATGTGGTCCAGACCGATTCTATCCTTCTTCGTTATGCTGTTCCTCTTCCTGCTCCCCCTTTCCTCTTCCTGCTCCCCCTTTCCTCTTCCTGCTCCCCCTTTCCTCTTCCTGCTCCTCCTACCCTCCCCAACCCTTTTCTTCCCCCTTCCCCCCCTTCCTTCCCTCCCCTCCAACATCAATCTCCTTCAGTCGTCTGTTGCTGACGTCATTCTGAGCACGCCAGCCACCATCGACCCAGCAGCCACAGCCCAAGCCACAGCGCTCTCAGACAAGCCCGCCCCACCCGCATTCGCCTCTGGCCCTCTCGCAGCAGTAGGGCGGGCAGGAGAGTCCGCCAATGCAGGGGCGGAGGGGGAGGGCCGAGGGGAGGCCGGGGGGGCAGTGGAGGAGAAGAATGGCGCGGAGGGGGAGGGCAGTGGGCCGGGGTCATCAGCGGCTGCAGCGGCTGTCGCTGCTGCAGCGGCGGCTGCTGCGGCTGCTGCTTTGGCTGGGACTAAACGCCAAGTTAGTGACTGGAGATGCAAAACATTCCCCCCCGTGCATCCCCACCTATGCATCCCCCCCATTCATCCCCCCGGTGCATCCCCCCCATGCATGCCCCCCCATGCATCCCCCCCGTGCATCCCCCCCATGCATCCCCCCCATGCATCCCCCCCCCTGCATCCCCCCCCCTGCATCCCCCAACATGCATCCCCCCCATGCATCCCCCCGGTGCATCCCCCCCATGCATCCCCCCAATGCATTCCCCCAATGCATCCCCCCCCCTGCATCCCCCCCAAGCATCCCCCAACATGCATCCCCCCCATGCATCCGCAGGGCCCTGCTTGCCCTCTTATTTCCCCCTACCCTGCGTCCTCATTCGCCCTCGGCCCCTGCATTTCCTTTTCATCCTTCCATTTGGTCTCCTCTCCTCTTCGCCCATTCGTCTCTCCCTGCCCCCCCTCGTTTCTGTCATTCCCACTCCTTCCTCCCTGTCCCCCGTGCTTGCTCTGACCTGTTCTGATCGCAAGTGAGTAGTTTGTATTCCTCCCCCCTCCCCCCTCTCTGCCCCCCCTGCACCCCTCAGTCGCAGCAGCAGGGCGCGGTGAACATCGCGCGCAGCCGAACAGGCGGGTCGGATCGCACGGCGGTGGACATCACAGAAGAGATCGAGACGGCGTACCGCACAGATGAGGAGGCGGGCGACAAGAAGTACGCCAGACGAGGTGAGGGGGCAGGGGGGCGAGAGGAAGTACGCCAGACGAGGTGAGGGGGCAGGGGGGTGAGAGGAAGTACGCCAGACGAGGTGAGGGGGCAGGGGGGCGAGAGGAAGTACGCCAGACGAGGTGAGGGGGCAGGGGGGCGAGAGGAAGTACGCCAGACGAGGTGAGGGAGGGGCAATTCCAAGAGGCAGGGGGGAGAGTGGGGGGAGAGAATGCATGTCTGCTAGAGAAAGAAGTTATAATGGGTGTACTGTGTACGGGTGGAAGGGGGGGTCATAGGCGCGCCAAGATAAGGGGGCCATTTTGAGCCATTGCAGTCTTCCTTACCTTCCCCTCCCCCACTCAGCTGCTGCAGCTCCGCGATTCGGATTGTCATCTTTGTCGGCTGCGGGTGGTTGGCTTGTGGTGAATCTCTATCGTGCTGCCTTTTTTTGAGGCGCCTCAAAAGAGGAGTCTATTTTTGAGGCGCCTCAAAAATAGACTCCTCATGCTTGGGTCGTGGTGAATCTCTATCGTGCCGATTCTATGGCCACATGACCTCAATTCCGATCATCATATGGCCTCTTCCTTGACCCCCTCTTCCTTGACCCCCTCTTCCTTGACCCCCTCTTCCTTGACCCCCTCTTCCTTAACCCCCTCTTCCTCGCCTCTCCCTCCCGCCATCCCCACCTGAAGCTGCTGCGGCTGCCTGGCTCCTCCTGCTGGTCAACCTGCAACCCACCACCTCTCCCCTACCCCCCTCTGCTCCACCCCCCTCACCCACACAAGCCCGGCCCATCTGCAGGCGCTGCGGTTCCTGAGCTCCGGATGGTTCTCTACTGCGCTGTCAATACTCTCCTGGTTAATACGACCTCCGATCTTCCCCCCTGTGTTGCGCCTCGTCCCCCAACCACACAGGCCCGGCCCATCTGCAGGCGCTGCGGTTCCTGGGCTCGTGGTGGTCCCCTGCGCTGCACGCGCTGCCAGTGACGCTCACCGCGTCGCACTCGCACCGCCGGGACAAGGAGGAGGGCACGGGGGCGCACGAGGATGGGGGGGCGGCGGGCAGGAGGAGACCCGGGCAGAGACGCAGCGGTGCTGTGGATCCCAGAAAGCTGCTGCTCATCGTGGCCATTGTGTAAGCAGAGCATGCTCGCACATTGCTGGTGGTGGCCATTGCGTGTGTCCCCGCCCCTCCTTCCCCACCATGCCCTTGGTCTATCGGTGTGCTCGTGGTGGCCATTTAGCAGGCACATGAAAGCCCCCTGCCACTGCAACCCTTCACCATACCATTGCGTTGGTGTCTATTCTCTCCCCCTACCCTCGCAGCTCGTGCATGGCAATGCTGCTGCTGCTGTACTGTTGCCTTGCCCAAAGATAACCCCTCCGATCATGCCATACGACGCTGCTGCTGCCGATGATTCATCATAGCACCATCTCTCGTGCATCCACCCCTCCCCTCATTCCTGCGGCTCCTGCTTGACGATGATGCTGCTGTTGCATTACCGCCTTGCACACTGATCATCCGTCTGAGCCCCCAAGCAATCTGTTGTTCTCTGTGTGTTACTGTTTG